TGAGGCCAAGCACACCATCTACTACTAAACACACCATCAGCACCTGGATTGTTCAGACTACTTCCCTGGCCTATCAGGTGCGCAGTTTGCCTTCACCTATGGCTGTAAGGGCGCACTCTACTCGAGGCATGGTGGCTTCTAGGGCCCTCCTCGCAGGGGCGTCACTCCAGGATTTGTGTGATGCTGCTTGGACAATTATCAACGTGGACCGGCACATATTGATATTCTAATTTTTTTTACTAGGGTAGGCTATTTAAAATAATTTTTGATTGAGGAGCTGTATTGAGGAGCATATAGTATTCATGCAGCACCTCCTTGCTCACTCCCTCTATCTCGTGAAAACCACTGCACAAACCTGTCCAATACCCCCCACCCCCCTGTCATTCTGTGGGAAGCACTGGAAAGTAATATAGTGAAGTAAGTAGTTACTTTTATTACCCAGTAATAAGTAAAGTAATAATATTACTTTTAAGGAGTAATAAGTAACTGTTAATATATTACAATTACTGGAAGTCACTGCACTGTGTTTCTGTTGTATGATTACAGGATTGGCATGAAGAGGATTTCCTACAGTAAATCACTGAGCCTTTCCCTTTCTGTTTCCCCATTTTCTCAGCAGCACCTTGGCCTCATCCTGTCCTGGCTGCTACTGGACGGCCAGCCTGCAGCACTGCTGTCTGAGCTACTTCTGCTGGCCCACTGGACTCTACTAGATCTAAATTTTTCGGTACAAGTGTACATAGTTTACTATTGAATACTTTAGCACTGAAATTGTGTTTGTATTATACAGTCTTGTATTATATATACTGAAGTTGTGCAGTATGCATTTATTAATGTTTAAATTATTTACACCTTCCTGTCAGAGCTGTTAAAGAAAGCTTTGTAAAAGTATATGAAAAGCTGTATTCTATAAAATCCCACTTAGGAATAAATTCAATAAAGTTATAGCATATTTGATGTGAAATGATAACGTACTTAATACTGAAATTATTAAAGTGTTCTTTTTATATATATGTATATAAAAATTGTAGTGAAGCAAATGGCTATACAAAAGCAGCCGAGGCAGATGTCACCAAATTTTGCTTGCCTGCCGAGAATGGCATTGCCCTAGAAATACTTTTAGCTTTTAAACGCTATAATATTCTTTGTGGGGTTAATCAATGGTGATAACTAGCATTCCTTGAGATTCAGCAAAAATATGTGGTGATAGCCACATTTGATCAGTGTTTGAAAAGGACCTTAAGAGGTGGATGCATTATTCGGGAAAGAACAGATGATGTAGGTTACCAAGATTTGCATCCATGTCTTTTTTCAGCATACAATTTTCGGCAAGCATGCAGAATTCGGCCACCGCCCACACTAAGCCATGGTTCTGCTTTCTTTCTGTAAGTATCACGTCGCTGCTTCAGCAGATGCTTCAATAAATCAGATGTAGAAGTATTTGAAGTTGAAAGCTTTTTGCTGGTTGCACAGAGTTTACAATAGACGACAATGTTCTTTGCATCTTAGACTGTGACACAGTAATGGCAGCAGCTACTTCCAGCTGTGTATATATATATATAATTTATATATATGTGTATATATGTATGTGTATGTATATATTTATGTATGTATGTATGTATGTATGTGTGTTATTATATATATATGTGTGTGTGGTATAAATAAATAATAAATAAATAATTATTAGTAATTGTTCGTTCTGCAGCTGGGTTCTGCCTCATCTGGACCTGCTACAGCTTTTCTACCAAGGAAGCGGTCAGTTAATTTGGTGCATTCAGCTGCCTCTTGCGCCGACCTCTTTTTATTCTTAATTCTTATTATTTCGGCACCACACATTTCTTTTTCCTCTTTCTTTCTTTTCCACATATTTACAGTCTCAGTTGCCCTTATCACACAACCTTGAGTTCAGTTTTGCCCGGACAAAACATACCAAACTGGTGCAAAAAGTTTTCGACTGAACTCACACCAGATGGAAAGTAAACACCTTTGAATTCTGCAAAAAAATGAGGATCAGTCCAAGTTGGGAAGGGCTGCTCATATCCCCCCTCAATATTGAAAGTATTAGTTTGGCCGAGACTGACAGAAACCCAAACAGCGTTCCGCTGCAGCTGAGCGGTTGGCCTTCGCGGTCATGGACCATTGAGTAAAACATTAGAAACTGAAAAATTTGAAAAAATAATTTTTTCACTTTTATTCATCCTGTTGTTAATTCTATAGATTGGTTAAGCATAACACATAGTTGTTTATTCTTTACATAGGCACTGAATTTTTTAAAATTAAATGTGTAGGCTATTAAATAGCCTATCTCTCTCTCCTATCTCTTATTGAATGGATGCTTATGTGCCTGACTGTATACCTCAACCTTAAAAGACAAATGATACCATAATGTAGCCATGTGCTTCATTTACATTGTAACAATATTCTTAACAAACAGGCAGCATATGAAATCCATCGTAATCAATCAGAAAATTAGTATGTTTTATTAAATCATTACAACCTAATGCTGTCACACGTCTGACAAGCCACCGTGCACCACACAGAACACTGGCCCACAAATTGTATAATTTGGCTTGATACTCATTAAGTATTTGATTTATCACACTCTCGTCGTCCTCAGTACTTTGGCATCCATTTTCCTTTCAGAGGGGACATGGAGGGTTTCTGGAGCTGCCATGCTGTTGTTTCCAGTCGACTCCCTGCCAAGAGACCAGCCCTTACCTGACTCCAATTGGTCAAAAATCCAGCCCAAAGGGAGTTCCCATCTCCCACAGAAAACTCTGATTTGTACTGCTTGAAAACAACTCGTTTGTAGTCCAGACGCTTCCCTTTCATCCCTGTGAAGTCACAGGGATAAAAGCAAAATGCGCCTCATATGTTCACCAAGACTAGTCAGACACGTCCTCAAAAACACCGGTGGAAAAACTGATCTGCAGCACACACCTCTCCTCTCCCTTCCAAGGAAGCTTCTCACTGACCAGCCCTTCTCTGCCTCTGTTTCTGATTGGCTGGTAGTTGGAACTGCGCATGTGCAACTCCCAACAAAGATCATTTTGAGATGATTGATCAAGATTAGTCACTCTGTAGCTAGAACGAAGCGTTCAACACAGGGTGAAAAGAGGAGCTGCAGCAATGTGCAGTATGACAAAAATATGGTGTTTTTTGAAAATGTAAACCTGTTCTGGTACAACCCCTAAATAGGATTATGAACCTTAAAATGAGCATAATACCACCACTACAGAGAAGGTCGAAAAAATAAAGACGCAGCTAACACTCGTCTTGGGCAAGCTCCCATCTTAATGTCTGAGTAGTCCATTTTTGGGTCAATCTCTAAACAATATACTGTAGTCTCTATAAATCTGGAAGCTAGTCCAACCTATAACAAACCTTTCAGCATCCACCTGTACAGTGCTACCCACAAGCTGGTCTGCCATTTGGATGCCTCAGTACAGTACTTGGAGGCTGTTATGTATCGCCCCTATGACATTTGTAACCACAGCCTTAGCAGACATAGCTTTAGCACAAGCTCAGTGCCAGCATTACTATAGGCTCTTACCAATGTCTATTTACATACTGTCCTTCACACCTGTATCCATTGTATTCAGTTATTAGGCTCTACTGCTAATACAATAATAATACCTGTTAATGTTTTGTTTTGTCTCTTTGATTTTGTTTCTTTCTCTAACTTTCATAAAAATAAATTCATCACATTTGCCGCTCATGGATAGATGTAGTCCTTTCTCAAAAAGAACTGAACCAAAGTGACAAGAGTCAGTCTCAACATTTAAATAAATATTCATTTTAATCTTAACTCTATTATGTTTTGTGGAGTTTCAACATTGTTCAGGCATGCTTGTTTACACAGCATGAACTTGTCACAGCTGATCTGTGGAACAATTGTTGAAAGTGAAAATGCACAACAATGGTGTTATATCTTTGACTCATAGTGTGAGGCCTGAGAGAGCTGGGAGGGGGAACCATATAACATTGAGTAATTGGGGGAGGTTGAAATGGGTAAAAGGGATTTGTTTTGTTTATATAATTAGCCATATTTAAACAGATTTAATCTCACTTGATGTTTTTCACTCATATCTACAGCAAAACACCATGAGAGTCTGTGATGAGAGCCAGAGTGACTCAAACATTAATTTAACCCCCTTATCTCACTGACTACGTCTCTGAACATGTTTTACACAACTACCAGGACACCATTCAGGACATACACTGTTTATTAAAAAATTCTTATATTTACAGTAACAATGTAATTATAAAAATGACAAACAATACAGTATATAAAGCTTTTCTTTCCCAACGCCAAGCAAGACCCTTTCCACACATTAAACCTAAAAAAGGGGGGTGTTGTTGAAAACATTAATTGTCTTCAGTTTGGGTCAGTTTAACAGTTGCAGGTGTTATCTAAATGCTGGGAAAGTTAATTCAAGTGTTGATCCAACTTTTTGATATAACTGCTTAAGTGCTGCTGCTGAAAAATGAATAATATTGACTATTTAGCTACTACTCTTACTCAAACGAGGTCAGCTTTACTGCCATTCAGTGTAATGGGTCATGAATAGGAAATTAACCCCAACAGCCTGTTTCAGTAACTCTAGTTAACCAAATAACTTTAGGTGAGAAGAAATTCTGGCTTCACAGACATACAGTAGTCATAAAACATTAAATACCCCGTCCCCACTTAAATACCAACACATCATAAGAATTTGAGGAAAATTATCACATTAAAAGGGAAACTTCTAATTTTACACATAAAGATCACTTAGTCATGCAGAGTATATTCAGGCTTTGAAAACAATTGTATATTAGGCTTAGGGCCTGTAGAGTTTAAAAGACAGGTTTAATGGAATGTACCAGCAGCAAAGGTTTAACAAAAACACACTATAAAATGACAGTATAGGAAGTTTAGGATATGGGAGTTTGTCCCGGGATAAAAAAAATCAGGACATCTTAGTAACTGCTGCTTCAATTAATTATCTGTCTTTTCCAAAATCCCCAACTTCACATTTCTGTTACGTTTAACAAAAAGGACACTTAGTCACCCAAGAAGAAAAAATTATCTAAATAACTGCACAGCTGCTTGGCCCAGAACCTGGTAGAGTGTAGAGGAAACACGGAAATCTTGAGTTATGTGGTAGACAGTTAATCTGAGTCGGTGATGGATACCTGCGAAACAAAAAACACAGGAGTCTGAAGGAGAGCGGAGAGCCTACATGAGTGAACAGCTTGTCATTGTAAAACTAATTTTTTCATGCATATAGAGTGCATGTGATGCCACCATTCATGGTCAACATGGTCACAAACACGTAACAAGTCAATCATCATGCATTGAGACGAGGGGGAAATGAAGAAAACGCTGCTAAAATGATAAAGACTGAGAGATAATGTGTTCATAAATAATTCAGGTAAAGGTTCTTGCTCTCTGAAAGCTAAAGAGAAGAGGCCAGGGAAACACCAGGAACCTAATTTTACAAATATATAAACAGTTTGTTCCTGCAAACGTTACTGTCTTTGTTTGGCAAACAAGGAAACAATTTCTTTGAGAGTGAAATAGTGTATTAATGCCTGTTTTGTCTTGTTTATCACTGAGCACCTGTGAGTCCATAAAGAGATACAGAAGATCACTTGTACTCCGGCTTCTTTAACGAGGAACAGTGGCATTTCAGTACCATTATTTGTAACTGATTCATCTAAGCAACATATTGTTTAGCCATGCTATGATGACTCTATGGATGGCAATGTTGGTCAGTTGTTCCAGGCTGAAATATCTCAACAACTATTTGATGGGTTGACATGACATTTGGTGCCCAGAGGTTGAAAGCTACTGACCTTGGTGATCCCTTGACCTTACCACTAGCACCACCATGAAGTTTACATTTGTGGTTTTGAGTGAAAGGTCTCAACAAGGATCAATTGTAATCCCTTTGAACATTTATTTCATCAAGCAACATCATCTGGTTAAAATTATAATTTGTCCACTACTTTGGTTTATGCCTACCTACAAAACTAATTACATTCCATCAGCCTCGGCTGTGCTTTGTTTCCTGCTACTGAGATATGCCACTACACAAAACTAAGATGGTGCCATGGTAAAAATTACATCTGCTTAGCATTAACGTTAGCTCAAAGCACCACTTTATCGTTGAGCCGCTACAATGGCTATAGACTTTCGGTTATAGGAAATATGTGGAAAAGTGCTATAATTACAAAGTATTGTAAGCTATGAATTACACTGAGGTGGCAGTGTGCCCAGTGTCTATGTTTTTCTTCACCTGACAATCACATGAAATGAAAGCCTACTTTTTAAAAACTATTTAAGCCACAATTGATATAAATTAAACAGTTTGGTTTAGCTGAATCTCATTATTGTGGTGGCGATCTATCACAGTTCCCGACACTTAATAGAGATATGTTGACATTTACAGTATGCTAGTCAGTAGTGATGGGCGTGCCAACATACCAGCCGAGCACATACAAACTCAAAGTTTGGAGAGCTTAGTCCCCAGTGTAAAAATATTATAATTTTTAACTGGAAAAAAAATCTAATACAGGGGAAAGTTTATATAGATCATAGAAAAAGGAGTATAAGACCAAAGAAAAATGTAAACTTACATCTGTTACCTCAACGCCCTCCCCCAAGTCGAGGATGAAAATTACTTTTCTTGTACGTTTTGTTTGATTAGGTGTTTCTTGTTGAACACAGATTGAAGGTAGTAATGATCACCGCCTCCCACATCTTTCTTCTGAAACCAGTAACCATCAGATGTATCATTCGGAATTTCAGCCATCTCCAGCTGTGAACACAAAAACACAGTTTGGCCATGTTTTGGTCCCATTTTAGGCATAAGGAAGCAAGGTGAGCGTGCACTTAATATCAATTTTTAAGTTAGTTTCAGTTATTTGCCACCTATAAAGAGCCCTGTTTGTGATTTTGAGAGATTGAACACTTTATCTATCTTTTGAGCAGTAAACGCTCACACACTGTAGGATTGAAA